AGGCAAAATTGTAGGATACCGTTCAACCAGTCATTTTTTTCGTTTATTGCCACTGTTTCCGCGTAAGTTGTCATTTGCCAAACGGAGCAGATTGAGCGCAAGTGTTTAGAAGGAATAGATCTGCGTATTTGCTCGAGTATAGAGAAGTCCCTAGAAGGATAGTTGTGGGGTTGCGGCCTCACTTTCTATCTCGCAGTCCTATTTGCGACAGACTCGGCATTGCCTCTTCATGCAGCCAGGTCTTACAAGCGACTGCCAAAGCAACCGTTTATACCAGCGACCCGTCCCGTTGAGTTTGTGGCCCTGTTTCCCCCAAAGGGGCCGCGCAATTACGGATGAAACATCTTAATCCGCTACTTAGTCCTCTATTACAAGTGTGTGATTAAAACAGTATTGCAGTGCCCACACCAAAACAAAATCTAGCAGCGGTTTGCAAACCTTGTTGCAAGTATCGAAATGAACTGCTTGATTTTAATGCATCGTAAAAAAAATAAAACGCGCGAGATATTTTCATTTCGGCTCCAAAGAACTCAAAACACGTCGAGAGATCTGCAAGCTCCTCCCTCCTCGTCTTCTTTCACCGATATTCGCTACCGAGCACACGCCGCAGAGCCAGCATAGACGTCCTGTCGCTTTTCTTTTCTTCATGCTCGCTGATGGGACTTCCAACTGACGGATGCTCTGCATACCAGCATCACTGTCTCGCTTGGAGTTGCGTCGTTAACTGCTCCAGGATAACTTTAAGCTTAAGCCTCCTCGCACCACTTGTTCTCCTCGCGGATCTGCGCCTCCTCCTCGGGCGTAAAGTCGTTGACGATGTTGAACGTCTCACGGATCTCCTGAGGGGTCTTGCCCTTGATCATGCTAGCTACCTTTGCGCAGGCCAGGTCCAGCAGACTCTTAATGTCCATATAGTTGGCAGCCAGGATGAGTTCGAACAGGATTTCCTGCTCAATGTCCACAAAGTTGGCGTCCCAGTCGGACACCACATCGTGCATATCAGCGCTCTTGAGGGGCTGCATTGCCATGTATACATACAAGGTTAGACAATGTGTATACTAATCATAAATGATCTCAACCCACCTTCTCAATCTCGCGCATGGGGTTGTTGTGGTGGTGGCTGCAGAACTCAATCACCTTGGAGAGCACAGGGCTCTTGACATTCGGCAGAGGAATCTCCTGCACCTCGTCATCGTCGGCATCATCTATTGTAAAAAAAGTATGCACATTTGCCGCCACCGTTAGAGAATTTGCCATCACCATGCTTAATCTTTTGCAATTATTAGCCAATTATTGCCACTGGGTTGAGAAAAACGTACCGGAAATGAGTGTCTTGACCAGCTCGCTCATGGCGGCGACACCGCGCGAAACCTCGAAGCT